GCTATTCTTTTATTTTTCCACTCTAGTTAGTATTTTATTTCTTCATATTTAAGTTTTTCTATTTGAACTACTTCTTTACAACTTGCTCTCATTTTTGCTAAAAAATTTGCTTTGTTATTCTATTTGTCTTTGCTGTGACTTTTGACTTTAATTAATTTTATTTTGGTGTTTTTTTTTTAACTAACTTTGTAATGTTTAAATATCCATATTGCATTCTTCTTTTTTAAGATTTTTTTATTACTTGTACTTTGTAATGCTTTATTAATATTTCTTATTGCTATATTGCTATCTGTATAAATTTCTATGTTTTTCCTTTTAGGTACTATTAGAATTGCTGCCCATATTGCTACTAACTTTACTAATATTGCTAATAGCCATCTCTCTAGGCTTAGTGCCACTTTTTCTTCTAACCAGTTGGCTTTTTCTTCTACTTGTATCTATCTAATACCTATTTTTTCTATACTATTTTTCTTATCTTTTTTATATAATATTCCATCTGTATAAAAAACATATTTTTCTTTGTTTCTTTTTTTGTTTCTTATTGTAATTTTATTAATCATTTTATAAGCATATTGTCTAATCTTTGTTTTCTTATTATTTCTATTTCTAGTTCTTTTACTTGTTTGAGTTTAACTAATTCTCTTTTTTTATTTATTTATTCTTCTATTGTTCTACTTTCTTTTATTTAACTATTGTCACATTGATTCTGTTGTTGTTTTTTTCTATTATTGATTTTAAAATAGCTTTTATATTATAATCTTGTTAAATCCACTTTTTATATCTATTAATTATCTGTATTTGTGTGTTTTTATAACTTTTATATTTACTTATTTCTGTAGATGTTTTATTTTTTTCTTGTGCATTAGCCAGTACTTGATTAAAACTTTTTTTCTTTTTTCCTTAGCTATTTTGACTAATTGTTGATTATTTTTTAACCTGTACATAATCTATTTTTTTTTTTCTTCTAACATCTTTGTTCATATAATCTTTAGTGCTTGTGTATTATAATTATTTACTTTGTATTGATCATATACTTTTTTGTTTGCTTGTGTTATTAGTATCTTTTTCTTAATTTCACTAAACTATTTTAACTTTTTCCCTTTACATGACCTTCCTTAGAGACTTTTAAGCTGTTTTCATATAATTAGCTTTTTGCCTTTTGCATCTATTAGCTAATTTAAATAAATTAATCATCAGCTATTAATTTTAATACTGCTTGCTTTTCATGTTTTTGCTTTTATTATATCTCTTATTTGTTTCTATATCTATACACCTTTTATAAACATTTCTTTGCTCTAATGCCTATATCTATATTTTTTACTTTGACTATTATTCAATATGCTAGATTGTTCTTTTAATATTTTTTCTTCTCTGGTTCTGTTTTTGTGTCCTATATATTTTCTGTTAAGCTTGCAGTTTGACAACCTTAAGTTATTCTAAGTCTTGTTAGTTCATCTAAGCTATATTTTTTGTTCAGTCTAGAGAATATGCTATTTATTTGTTTTATTATTATCTCTTGCTCTAATGATTTGCAGTTGCTGAGGTTTTTGTATTCTATTATACAATTATTTGCTATATGCATTATATTGCATTTGTGTTTTGCCAAGCATATTAGAGGTTAATATACTTGTTAATCATCTTTTTTGTTATTTTCATTAATTGTAGCAGATATCACAATTTTGAAATAATTACTGTATTGTTTATATATGCAATTTGGCTTATTGTTATTTTTTTGTATTTGAAATTCTTGATCATTTGACTAACTATTCCTTTTGCTTTTTTTCCAACTAATGACTTCTTTATTTTATTATTTAGCCAAATTTTTAGTGATCTTACTATTTTGTTTTTTGGTTCTTCTTTTATCTTGCTTTGTCCAAAGAAAATCTCTTTTTTTTTCTCTTTAAACTTAATGTTCATTATTATAAGTTTTAACTTGGATTTATTTATTTCAATATTATTAGCTCTGAAAAATTCTTCTACAATTTTTAAGATTTTTAATAGTTGCTCTTTGCTATTTGCAATCTATGTAGTATCATTTGTGTATGCTATTGCAGCTTGTTTATAACTTGTAATGGCTTTGTTATAAGTTCTTTCTTCTATTTTCTGTTCTACTATATAGCTGAGTATTTTATTTTCTTAAATTCTTTTCAGTAATAGGTCATAAAAGAGCCATTATATTAGAGGTAAGATTACCTTATCTTGATCTATTCCATCTTCTGCTATTATTTCTTCTATTAGGCCATATGCAATAATAACTTTTAATTATCTTTTAAAAAAAAGGTTCATTATGTATTTCCTTATTTTTTGTAGTATTTTAACTCTTTTGAGTGCCAATTTTAGACTCTCTAATGAAACTAAATTAAATGCTTTCTTTATATTTTGCAATAGTATTCATACTTTTTTTTTTTGAGTTTCTTTTATTATCATATTTAAAATATGTATTAGTTGTTCTTAGAGTTCCTATGAACTGAACTGAATATTTTTAAAAACTAAAATTCAGTTCAGTTCAATTTTTAAACTTTTTAAATTAGTTCAGTTCAGTTTAGATTCAGTTCAAAATTCATAAACATGTTCAGTTCAATATATTTTTATATAAATAACAAAATAATTTAGAATATTAAATTAGAATTTATTAGTAAAATTTTGAGAATAATAGCATTCTTTATAATTTTACTAATAAAATTATAAAGAATACTATAATTCTTAGAAATTTATTAATATATTCTAACTTTATGCTCTAAGTAACTTTGTTCTATATATAAAATTATATTAGAGTGGCATATTTTATTTTACACTTAATAAATTTTAAAGAGAAGATGCTTAATTTTGATTTTTTGATAAGGATAAATATAATCATCACAGGGTGCTATACAAATATTTATTATACTTAACAAAATAAACCAATATATATAATTTAATTAAAAATAAATTAGTAACAACTATTTAATAGGCCAAAATTTTATGAATAAACTATCAATAGAGTTGTTAATACATAGATTAGATTAACTCTAGCATTTTATAGCTACCCAGAGCAGAGTTAGAAATAAAGCTTAATAAAGCCCAATGGAGCTACAAATAGAGCTCTGAATAGAGCCAATGAATACTAGTTTTTTGAGCTTTATTTGCATAACTATTAAGCTCTATTGGCTTCATTGCCAACCCTAACTTGAGAATACATGCATCTAAACTATAATTATCTAAGGTTTCTTCCAATCTAAAATTCAAAATATAGTAAAATACTCTAATTCTGATTTAAAATTCTAAACATAAATATAGTAGAATCTGTTACAAAGATCCTAATGTTTTTAGTATAGCCTAGATTGTTCTAAGTTGCCTGAATATAAAAACATTTTGAACTAGCTATATGACATCAGATGTTTTAGAATACACTATCATATTAAATCGAATTACTTGCTATCTATTGATAATCAGAAAATAGACTAGAAAATCTACTATTTGAAAGTAGGTGCAAATCATGATTTACCTGGCCTATTCTTTAGCTTTGTTATACTTGATGCCAGCCTTCTAATAAATTTTATGTATTTTATGACTTTATATAAATTAATAAATAGCATAATTATGTAGTATACTTTATGGCCAAAAAGCTAATATATATTAGTAAAGCCTAAAATAATCTAATTTTACATATACTAATTCTAATTCCAGAGGTGTGACGACTTAGTGAAGTAGATAAGTTGTCAACCTTTCAAGTGGTAGGTTGGAAGTTCAAAACCCACTGACAGTGAAAATTTGGATAACCACCTATGTTACATCAGTATATATAGGCATCTGTACAATGCTAGAGTTATACAGAAGAATGCAAACTGGCATTGGGCAGTGCAAACACAAGATAAGTCCTTGAAACTGGTACTATAGCAATGGCTATCTATCAATCAGTTGGGATCAGTACCTGTAATATGGTCACACCAAATAACTAGCAGGTTATAGGGCATCTGTGGCCATGTAAATTCATGAACTAGGATAACCAAAAGCCCACTTGGAAAGACCCGAATAGAGAGGTAACACAGATCTTTGACAGTACTACTGTAAAGGCTAGATCTAGGAAACAGATACCAATGTGAAAGGAATTAGGCAGGCAAGAATCTCGAGTGAGGGGTACCATCAACCAGGCCACTAGAAGTCTAGAACCAGAGGAAAAGGACCTTGGGGAGCAGATTCTGGGGTACTAGGAACAGGTCACAGTTCTACCAGGCTATCTGGATTGGGAGTCTGAGGTCAGAAACAAGAGTATATTAAAGTACTAGGGATATGCTGTGAAGTCAGTGCTGGGGTCTGAGTGAACTCTGCAAGTGTGAGCCCTGTTAACAAGATACTAAATGTGGGTAGTTAGCAAAGGGGTCTCTTGGAGCCCTACAAGTCAGATGACATACTCTGAAATGTGTAATGGCTTGATAGATGTACAGACAGGAAGGTCATAGTTAGGTTAGACAGTACTTTGATGTACAAGAACTTGTATACTATTTGTTAATATAAGTATAAGTATCTGAGTGTTTAAAATAGGTAATCTCCTAGTAGATTGCAGGTATGACAGCTAGTGTAGAACCTGCTATGTGAGCAGACTACTTAAATTAGACAACCAAAAGTTGTACATGTGGCTAGCTGTATACTTACCTTGTACAAGTTATGTAATTATAATTAAAATACAATAAAGACAATAGCTGCCGACAACTACAGCCTTAGCAAAAAAAAAAAAAAAATTTTAATTCTAATGCTAATCATAATCATACTTTATCGATAATGCTATATCGATATTGCTGTATTACTAATGCTGTAATGATAATATTATGTCAATAGAAATTGCTTCAATAAAATATATAGGATGCTATACAATTATTTATTGCATCTGAATTTTATTGGCCAATTAGGCAGATCTTTAACATTGTATATGATGTGCGATATGACTATCTCTCACATACTTCAAAACAAATAAAATACTAAATTATAATATCTTTCTTTTAAACTCAATTAATTTAATAAACATGTCTGCCACTTCAGAACCAGAGTTGATCAAATTAATGAATTCTATAGTGATTTTTGATAATTGTAAACATATTGAAGATAGTTACATAAATCTAAAAAGTGTTAAAATTAATAATTCCTCAGATAACAAAAGCAAAAGTACAAGTAATATGAATATGTTCAACAATAATGTGATCAATAAACTATATACATCAGAAACATCTAATACAAATAGTAAGAGGCACCTACCAGTACTCTAATTCCTTTTAATACTGTTTAGTGCTAATAAAAATGCTTTTGTTAGTTATTATAATTTCAAAAAAAATACCAAAAGACATAACCTTTGATTCATGAGATGAAGTTGAAGTATTCTTTTTGAATTATAGTGTACAAAATAGTTTTGCAGTCAACAAATATAGGAAAAAAAATTCTAAAGCAGAAATAGTACAAAATAGAACTTTTTGCTATAAATTTTATAAAACATACAAGTCTAAAAAAAGTTTGGCAGTGGCCCAAAATAGAATATAATGTAATACAAGAACAAAAAAGCAAAACTGCCCTTGGCATTATAATCTCTCATTGTGTCAAACTGGATTTCAAATTCAAATTACAACCCTGGTTAATAGACATAACCACATTCTTGTACCAAAAACTCTAAAATTTGGACTTAAGTATAGATCTTTAAACAAAGAAGCTTTGAAAGAAATTGAAATAATGTTCAAACATGAAAACTTATTAATTACATTACAAAAAAAGCTTCTTAAGTTCATTTTCCAGATTTGAATATTCAAGATAATAATCTTGCTAATGCTATTAGTAAAATCAAAAGAACAAATAACCTTAATAAGGAAAATGATGTATCAACTTTACTTACTTTACTAATGAAAAAAAAAATAAATGATCTGTGATAGGCTATTGATTTTAAGTTAGATGAAGAAAACTGTTTGATTAGACTCTTCTGGATATCACCAGAACAAATTAACCTTTGGTTAAAGTATTATAATATAGTGATTAATGATAATACAGTACAAACAAATCAATACCGAATGCCTTTATCTCTTTTTATTATCATTGATAACAATAATAAAACAAAACTCATAGGCCAAGCTTTAGTTAGTAATGAAATGTTAAATACATATACATGAATTTTAAAATATGTTAATAAAGCTACACACAAGCCACCTATTGTAATATTCACAGATGTGAATCCCATCTTAAATGCTACCATTTCAGCTACTTTTTCAACTACACATGCAGCATATTGCATATATCATATCAAACAAAATCTTTCTAAAAATTTAAAGTCAAGAGATGTGGCGACCTAGTGAAGTGGTCAGGTTGTCAACCCCCCAAGTGGTAGGTTGGGTGTTCAAATCCCATCGACAGCAA